AACGAGCGAGGTTCGTCGGGCAGGCCGCTGGTCACGTTCGGTCGGCGTTTGAGTCGAGGAACTGGTGGAACCACCGGGTTCAGTAATGCCGGTTTCGGAATTTCATTATTTAAGCACATCGACCCTGACGCTACGACTCTCGGGCCAGACTGCACTCCGCAGATGTAATCCTTACCAAAGTCAGATACCAGAAGCATACATTTTCTAATTATCGCACCTTTATTCGCCATGCGCTCTGTACACTTGCGTTCCGTATACTTGTTCTCAGACGGCTTGTGGTTCTTTTGAGGTGCAAACGTTGGGGAGGCCGAAGAACGATCCTTCGATGTTCGGACACCGCGACGTACCCGTTTTTACATTAATATTAATCTAAACGTTAGGTAGGTTCACGAAAGTAGTTTCGAAAATGCGCGATTGCGTATCTTCGAAAGCTTTAAGGAGAAGACTGCAAAGAAGAGAGTGATATCTCAAGGAAGAGAGAAAGCTCGATTGAGAGGCGTATAATTTTTTTGAATGATCAAAAGGAGCCCCGGAGGAAGAACCGACTTGTTTGCGTAATACACCGAAATATCCTCCTGCCTAAAATTTTTTCCGGGTTGTAATGCGCTCTGTAACATGCGACCTCCGATTTCCAAAAAGGTTTTCTATGCGGAAGAGATATTACATAATTTTGCGCATAAACAGGCTTGTCCTGTTGCATGTACTTAGTTTTTACGCTTTCTTCGCACGAAACCAAATACTAGTGCTTTTGCAAAAGAGAAAGAGCGAAGGAAATGGAGCAAAGACGTAGAACCGGCCGCATAACTGAATTCGAGGCTCTCTTGGACCGGATCGCCGCGTCGTGGCGAAAGGATGAAAATTTAGGAGACTCGAGCGCGCTGTATTAATTGCAATTTAATTGCGCACTATATTAATTGCATTCTAATTGCGTACTACAGCTCTCTCTATTAATTGAAACTAATAGGAGAATAATTATGTGCAGTATGCGTTTGATTTCCGCGTGATTGTTTAACATTCGCTTCGTCTCAGCTGGATTCTGAATATTGTCATTCCGTATAATTCAATACCGCACTCAAACAAAATCTAATTAGATGCAAAACGTAAAAGCGCGAATTATCGAAACGTGGAAATCGTCAAAGAGACACGAGATTGTACCGTTAACTAGATATTTCGACGCTAATTATGTTAGATGAGATTTGAATCAAGGAAAAGAGGCCGAATTCGAAACCTCTTCGGATGATTGAAGAATATTGCAGTATCAAACCGATCGATTAACGAGCAAAGGAATAATTATGTGTAAATATAAGGATCTATGTGGAAGATCATACTAACATGTTGTTCATTAGGCGAATATGACATGTAAACATCCTTGTGTGCTCGTCGTATGGAAACATGTGGTTCACGAATTTACTGATAGCATTATTCTACACGCCCATGAATCGTACATTATAAACGTGGTTTTCGAAAAGGAAGAGTTGCCAATACAGAAATCAAAATAGAATGTCTGATCGATATGTATTCAAGCAGAAAAGAGATTGATACGGGGCTACGGAGAGCTAAAATGGACAGTCAAACGTGTCAAAGAAATGCACTGCATGCGATAACGAGAAGAGATGTTATGAAGAGACGAGATGGAGATCGACATGAGAGAGAAATTAACACGAAATTAACGCAGACGACATAAATATATGAGAAACGTCGCAAAAACGCCGAAAGGAGTCCTCGGTCTTGGACAATTTTTCGAATGTTTGGACCTCTGTGGTATTTGAAATACGAAAGTACCCGGAGAGTACACTGAATTCTGATCCAAGTTACTCTACATCCTCCATTTCGAGTCGCTGGGGGGGGGGGGGGGGGGGGGGTGGAAGAGAAAAATAAAAGTCTGAAAAAAATTTTCAGGAAAATCTGTTAATTTTTCGGGCAATCGCTGTAACGAATTATTGCGGATAAAATGGGAACACACTTGCGTGTCCCAGTACAATCTTTCGCCGTTAGTTGTAATACATACGCGGAAATATTACAGGACTTTCCGAAAAGCGATTCTTCAGCGGATCTTGAAGGAGAGTCGGGGAGAACGTCGCAAGTGTGTAAAAAAAGAGATTTTTAATTGCACGTTTTATCAATTACATCTTAATGATAATTACAAACGCGTTGCTTTCAAATAATTATCATTTTACATTAATTTTATTTTAATAATTTTCATAATTCAATTTTGCAAGCGTCGTGTATCGACAATCAAATACGTTCGCGCTTGCGAACGTTTCTGCTGGATCCTCCTGAGTTCTCGTCGCGAATCATCACGATAAGACGTGTAATAGGACGAGCGTTTTCGTGCGAGGAAATCGCAAGGCCCGCGTAAAATTCTCGTTTATGATTTCGTCCTCGCCTATTTCTTAGATCCTCGTTCCGAGTAAGCGAACGATACAAAAAATCCGGAATGATATCCGGGAAAAAACGTCTGAAGCTGAAGGGGGACGTGCGAAATTAATATTCCTAATGGAATAATAATCTTAATGGATATATTAAATAATCCTAAGATAGGATCTAACTCAGGATGTTGAGATTCGGGATCTTTTAGTCCCTCGGGCGTTCTTACCGACGCCGTCTAACTCGCGTCAGATCTGGCAGAGAGGAGAGGCGAGAGGATAACGAGATACGGATTTGCCGTCGACGTGCTAGAATTCTATACGAGCGAAAAAGAGAATGCGAAACGAGAAGCGCTCAGGTCGCCCTACGCGCTACATATCCGTTTAAATGGCGCATTTATATGCAGGCATTTTTTCATTTAAAAAACACGTAAAACCGACTCGCCAACCGATCCTGCGACCCTTCCCACACGCCGCCGACCCGCGCGATTATTTATGGTCCCTCGCAGACTCTCTTTCGATATACATATTATATATATAAATATATAAATATAATATAAGTATAATTACGATAAGATTGTATATTCTTAATTAGATGCAACGTGCTGGCGTGCGCGCGCGCGGTCGCTGGGGTGATTTGAGATAAAAAAGAAAACTGCACACACACACACACACACGTAACACATATAGACACGTTCATACACACAGCGAACACACACACATACACGTATACAGAAATATAGGTACGCACGGGGGGTTGCGGGCGACGGTTTGCCAATTTTCGCGGGGGGCTTTCACTTACGAAACGGGCGATACCCGCGCGTTCTGCGTTGTTACGCAGTAAGGAGACCTCTGCCGCCTCCGGAATCTTTTGTGTATTATTTCTAACAGAATGTAATAAAGTAAAGTTTAAACAGACGAGCGTCTTTTTCTCTACTCTTCCTTTTCGTTTGCCCAGAAATTAATTCAACATTCCGCATTTCATACAGAAATCGTAAAATACTAAAATGCAGTATCACGTTCAAGTCTTAAGGGGGGACAGGAAGTTGGTCAAATTGAAGACGAAATTTGCGAAAGAAAATCAGGGGAAGAAATAAACGGGTACAGTTCTCCGTTTATAGGTATTATTTGCTACTATATATCAAATATAGAAAATTAATTTGTAATACAAAAAAGTAGACCAAAATTTAGCAGATTGCTATCTTAGAAGTTACGAGATCATAATAACGTACAGCACTCGAAAATTTCGGTCGTGTCTTCAATAACAGAAAACTTCTATTTTTTAATAAGTTTTGTATTACAAATTAATTTCTTACATTTCAAATATAGTGAATAACCTAAATTGAGAATTGTGTTTATTCGTTCTTTTCCCTGAAATAATTTCTTCAATTTAATCATACAAAATTCCCGCTCACCTTTAAGTTTATTTTTTGTTAGCCATGACAGATTCTACTTGATTTCGATTATATTCTACTAACAGATTTTATTTTTGTTTTGCACTTCACCGAAAAAAAATTATAGATATGTAGTAGACATTGCAAAATTTGTTTTAAAAAAATTTGGCTATTTGAGTATTATTTAAATGGTTACGAAATGATACCTAAGTGCTACAATAAATGCTAGCACATTCTATTAACAGATTTGATTACATTTCTACTGACATTCTGTCGATAAAATTTGTAACAGACACTTTGCAAAACCTGTTTTCGATAGTTCTGACTGTCTGAATAAGTTTTTGTCAGTAACACAAGTTGAAATAGAAGCCAACAATGTTTGTGATGGCTGCCACAACTGATGCTATTTTAGAATTTTAAGATTTCTAATATTCTTGAGATCTTTTAATAAATTTTTCAAACGATTTTCCTAACAATGCCTAATATAATATCCCGTAAAATCTTTCTTTTTGCAATCTGTGCTACAATTTTTTACGTGAAAAAAGGAAATTCTGAACTTTTTCCCCCCAAAACACTTGCATAGTTGTAAAAAGACTTATAAAATGAAATAGATTTCCTCCTTCGTATACTGACCCTTATCCTATTTTATTTTATAACAATTCCAGATTGCTCCCTTCGAAAAATCATTACTTTTGGTATTAGCACGCGTCGCGCTGTTGATTATTATTATCTAAACAAAGACCCGTCATTCTTAATAAGCTTAATAATTCTCAATTCGTCTTGAGTTGAATTTTTCAATTTTTACCTGTAATTCGTAGCGAATACGCTTCGACTTAGCATACTATTGTATAATATATTGTTTACAAGTATACTGTCACTAAAATGAAATTTAATCCGCGAAGAGTTTTTCTTCTTATCTTAGTTAAAATATGTCGTGTTTCAAGGGCATGTAACATCGAATAGTTTGCATCGATTTGAATTATACGATGACATTACATTAGATAGTAATCCACTAAGGATGAAAAATATATAATGGCACGGAAGAGCATACAATTCGTCACGAAACTGCCACGCTCCTTGGAATGGAAATATTTATATTGACCGTTATCTGTTATCAAGTCATATATCCTTAGGAAGACAGTCATCATATTCATCGCATCGCTGCGGAGGCTGATGGAAACAACCCGTGTTATTAAGAGCAAACAGTTTTATCTGTTTATATAACTAAATTTTTAACTTTCGTCGTGCTATCGGCGAGGATTTATCCGAGGACAGTCAGTCATTTGTTGACGATCGAGACGAGCAGAAGTGAACAACGAGCCATCCAGAAGGCAAGTCTATCTTTTCAATCTCTTTCACATGCGAATTTTCTAGAATTTTATCTATAATTTTTTTTTTTCAAGACGTCGACACTATCAGTATTCACTGTATATCGCATTATCAGTACAACGATAACCGTCTACGTTATCAATAGAATTATAACTACAGTCGTGCAATAAACGACGACATAACATTTGTCAAGTTGTCCCGATTACGTAATGTTGTAACCTTCGTATTTAACATTTACAGTTATCTGCTGTTACGTTATAAAATATCAATTTATCTACTTAAGGCGATCCTATAGTGGCAATAATTACCGACGTTTAGTTAAAAGCAAACCACTTTTAATTGGCTTTACGAAATTGCAAAATCTTTGTATAGAATTAAAGTACGTACAAAAATGTAGGGGGCTAGTGTCGGTTTTACATCAAAAACGAAAAAATAAAAATTAAAAATTTGGGCACATAGAGCTGTCACTGACGACAATATTTGCTTATACAAAAATACTGCAGTTTATATATACAAAATGAGATACTAGCCCTCTAGGGAAAACATTGAAGAACAATATCGTGCAATTACAACTACGATAGAAGTCTAGAAAAAAAGTTTCATGCTTTTAACTTTTATATATGCAAAAGCACATGTAGGTTGATAAGGTAAGCAGTATTGCGTGTAGCGAGAGATGGCGCAGATATATATATATATATATATATATATATATCTGTCCTTGTTTAACTATAGGTATCTATCCTTGTCCGATTGCTATATATATAACATAGAAAACAGGACTAGAAGTGTTGACATTATCGACATCGAAGAAGTTCGGCCTTCGCTATAGGATCCCCAGTCACTATCTCGACATAAATTATAAGACTAGTGGATATTATACAATTTTGAATTTACTATAAGTTTTTCTTACTTTCGAGATAATATATTTATTTGTTGTTCCTCTTCGAATTATACAATTTCTCTTGTATAACATCGCTGCGTGTGCTCGCAACATTATGTTATTATTACCATCTACTATTATCGTATAAAATATCAAGTGACAGATATAAAAACATTTATAAAACGTTATAATAATAAAAATTATAAGAACAATATCTTACAAGAGAAGATTCGGGAACAAAGCACAGGAAAAATATATAATAAATTCAAGAGGAAGCCACTTGGATAGACTCGCTAATAAAAATTAAATAAAATTTCCATATAAAACCATGCTCTCAGAATTGGCAAAGCAAAGTTCGTAAAGTTTGACGCAACAAAATAATTTTCAATAAAATCGACAAGTCAATCTTCGTGGCCTCTTCTTGTTAGTAAAAATGTATCTTGTTTCATTTCCAAGATAAGTTACAATAACGATACTTTCATTGCAGATTGCGACAATATTAATTTTTGACACGGCAGGATGGCATACGTGTGCATCGAAGATTACGAGAAGCATGCTCTGGAACGTTTGCCTGCTTCCGTGAGGGACTACTACAAGAGCGGTGCAGGAGAAGAGTATAGCGTAAAATGGAATAGGGAGGCTTTCAAAAAGTAAATCCCTCTTTTGAATCTAAAAGTAAAGTAGAAAAGATTTTGAGAGGAGAGGGGGAGGGAGAGAGAGAAAAGAGTGGAAAATAAGAAAGTGTGTGTTCGATATGAAATAGTTGAGCTGAAAAGGTCGTTACAATTTTTTTAGATACTCATATTGCACATATATGATTCCTTAAGTAATTTGTGTAGAAAGATAGGATATATTGTATATATTTTTCACATAGGTTGGCGATAAAAAATGCGACTTGTCCTAGTTCTCGATAATTTTTAATATTCTTGCAGTTACAGAATACGTCCTAGATTCTTGCGAGACGTGTCCAAAAGGGACATAAGCACGACGGTGTTGGGTCACAAAGTTTCAATGCCCTTGGGAGTCGCACCTACCGCGATGCAGCGTATGGCACATCCCGATGGAGAATGCGCCAATGCAAGGGGTAAGTAAACATTTCGCGAAATAATTCTTAGATTATACCCTCTTGCTTTGACGCTGTTCGTAACTTGGTCCAATTCCTTCTTCTCTCTCAGAACAATTTCGAAACCCCTACTGTCAAGAACACTTTGGTCACATAGTGTTATCTGAATGTATTCTTTGATCAGGATCCAGCTTTGATCTGGGCACGTATTATGGAACTTTTCGAAATGGATTCCGATCGGAATCCATTCCGAAAAGTTCCATAATACGTGCCATGATCCTGCCTGATTTGATTATATCGTACGATATCTTGAACTATTGCGTTGGACGTGATTTGTAGGTTTTTTTTCCAATACGGTCCATTCGGAAGCATTAGACATCTGTAAGCGTTGATGCGGTGGGAGGACCACATTATAAGAAAATCTAACATTAGGCACTTTTCCTCGCATTTTCCGTTTTATTTTCTTGTTTTATCCCCCATGGATGTATAAAATAAAACGTTACTTCTTTTCGATAAGAATCACTTGACCATATATTTATCTAGTAGTGAAATATTGTGTGTGTGTGTGTGTGTGTGTGTGTGTGTGTGTGTGTGTGTGTGTGGCGCGTGCGCGCGTGTGTGACACCTGGGATTGCTGATCGATCAGAACTATAACTTTATTGTATACTGTACTTTTATCATCAGATTGGTACTTACGTTTATTGTAAAATATATATAAGGCTTTTTTTAAATACAAACGTGTATTAAATCATATAAATATGCTATAAAAATAGTAATAATCAAAGATTAGCCCAGACACATCAACGATCACAGACAGTTAACAATACTTCTCTAACATTAATTTATTATTGCATAATTATCAAAGATCCGCGCTCAAACATAAACTAATATGCTGACAAATATAAAGAATAATGCTTTAATGTATTCATTTGCTCTTACAATAATTGCTAATGAATGCTCCATTTTTTATTCTGATCCTTCGAGTATATCGTAGAATAACTTTCAATAAGACGCAATCATGTTTTTATATACATACATTTAATTGGAATACAGAGAAGAGACAATATCGCACAGTAAACCGCATTTTTAGTTTTCTTCTACTTAATTAGAAATATATTTCAAAGAAAAATTTATATTTTATTGGAAAATACTAGGAAAGATACTAGGAGTATAAAAATGTATATTTGTTATTCATTTTAGTTTTTTGTATTGTATCGTGTCTGCACATTATTAAAAAAATATATGTATTTTATATTTCAAGTTATTCTATAATTTACTCATAATGCATTAAAAATGGAGAATAATTTATATCTTCTCTTTCTTCACTGGGTTTTTTAAATAATCTAATCTGATAAAATAGTTCATAATATTTATTTATATGAGTTAATGATAATGGAATGAATAGTTATTATTATTATACAAGATGTGTCACATAAATTATTATTAAAAGTTAATTTTTCAGGAATTCTTAAAGATTGCAAAGAATCTTTTTAAGGCTCCTGGATGGTCAGCCGAGAACTCTGCGTTGACGGTGGCGACGTACCGTCGCGGCAGAAATAAGAACTCTCTCCAATGGAGAATTCTGTCCTTTGTGACATGTTGACAACCTATTTTGTTGTGCATGCTATTTTTTTATTATTCGCTCTGTGCTTGTGCTCTAACGTTTAACGTATTCGTGAAAGTCGTAAAATTGACCGAAAAGTAAGATTTGCATGCGGAAGGAACGTTTTCACCTCCTTTCGATAGTCGTTAAAAGGCTGTTTTTCCCGTATGTTTAGGCTTCGTTTTATGGCTGTTTGTTTGTTGTCGAGGGAAAAGGGTAGTTTTCGGTCAATTTCGGAAGTGTTCTAAAACGATCTATAGTGATGTTTTATTGAAATGTATTTTTATTTGAAAATGGCATGCACAACAATATTGGGTGTTTTCCTCGCCTCGATAGTAAGAATCCAATATGGCCAATATGGTGACCATCCAGGAGCCAATGTTCATATTCAACCTTTTATGCGACATAAAAAGATAAACCTTAAAAATTACGAAATTGTTATAATTTCTAATAATTACAGAAAAAAACAGTTTGTAATACTTTATGTATGATTTATGCTATACATATAAATTATATTCATGATTTCTCGATAGAATATCTAGAACTTTCCTTAAACAATTTGCTTCAATAAGAAACATTATAATACAAATAAAATGTATAAACAAATAAAATTTCAGTCCTGCTTAATAAGTGGCATTTTTAAAAAGATATAATGTTTACCGTAATATTAATTTGAGCGAAAGGTGAAACTTAATGCTAAAATCGTTATCGTACCGTACTCCTACATATGGCTATATGATGTAAGGCACGATAGAGCGCTTGTGCGATATGTATAGACACATCCGCCGATATGAAGACCGTTTGCTATCCAGTCTGCATACCCAAGGAACGAAAATCTCGCCTTACGCTACGTGCAAAATTACTCGGGCCGCGCGTTGATCGAGTCTTGCTCTTCGTTAATTATTATTAACACAAGTGCAGTATGTTGCTCAAATTGAAATTTGCGATGACTAGTAACCAGGAATAAAGGAATTCCTCCCTAGATTTCTATAACGAGTAGGAATTTGGCGCGAGCCTACCGTTCAAGAGACATTATGGCAGTACAAGGGAAGAGAGTTCACTTGAGCTTGGGTCCTGTGTTCTCCCAATTATTAATCGCTTTCATGTTAACTTGCTCTATCCGCCATTTCTGAGTGGGTGACGATTTGTCGCATGCAGTCACGAATACTCTTTTACTGCCCGGATCGGTGTCCAGGCATCTCGACGAGTAACCATGCTGCAACCACTGTTTTTCGACGTCGTAACGCCACAACTGATTGCCTTGTTTCCCGTGGCAGGGATACAGGCTCACCGGTGCTTTCTCCTCGCCTCTGGACACGTCCAAGCAATCCGTGCGATCCTTCGGCCTGATGTCCTTATGCCAGGTCAGCCGGAACTCCTGCTCACCCAACACTTTCGGATCGTCCTTCATACAGGTGTCCATCACGACAAGCTCGTCCCTCTTCCGCTTCTTCGAGTCCAAACACAGATCGGTCGCGCCCATGTTCCTGATCTCCCCGTAAGCGAAGTCGTCCGGCTCAATGGGCGGATACACTTCCACGAGGTCGAAGGCTATGTTCTCCATGAACCATTTAAACGGTTTACAGTGCAACTTCGCGCGCAACGCCTTCTGCTCCGACAAATCACCCGGATCCAACGCCCGTAAGTGCGGTCGTCTCTTGTAGATGTATTCCGCGTATTCATCCATCCACACCTCGGCGACCCTCTTGTAGTTCTTTCCCAGGAAGTCGCCGCGGCCGGGATTGGGAAACGGCGGGAATTTACGATAGATATGACCGACCCTGGAACACGGAGCGTCATACATTTGACCGCCGCACTGCCAGATCTTGAAGGACAGCTCGTATTGCTCGCCACCCCATATATCCAAGCCCGGATCGTAGCCGCCCAATTCCCAGAAGAACTTGGCGCTGATCGCAAACAGACCGCCTGCCATTATAGGGCTCTTGAACGGCTCTGCGGGTTTCTTCAAGTCTTCCGGAAGTAACGGAAGTCGCTTGTAATACAACTCCCAGTCAAACGCCCCTCGGGCGCCTTCGTCCTGCGCCCTATACTCAAAAGTCTCGTAAGCTATCACATCGATGAACGGACAGACACAGGTTTTGTAGTCTTGCGCGATGGGCTCTAACAACGGCGGTAGCCAATTCACATTAGCCTCGCTATGCGAGTCCAGAAACACGAGAACTCTCGCTCTCGCCTTCTTCGCGCCCGCCAGTCGACCTCTGATCAATCCCGAGCGTTTTGGTAATCGTACGATCGTTACCTTCGGCAAGTGCTGGGCGACGTAATCGTCTAGCTTCTTTTTTAACTCGACTTTCGTGCTGGCATCGTCGACCAGTATAATTTCTTCTAAAAGGGAAGGCGGCGAGCGGTTAATCACACTCCAGCAGGTTCGCAGTAGCGTGCTGAAGTGCTCGTTGTGGAAGGACACTATCACAGAAACGGGATCCAGGTTCTTCGAGTATTTCTTCTTCCTGCAATCTGGATGGCGAATATCAGGCACTGAACGATTCACTGAGATCTCATCGCTGAGAGCTGCATTGAATCCATTTACTTGATACAATTTTTCCTTCCGCACATCGAGGGACGGGGAAAGAAAGGCTGGTCTTCCGTGTTCTCCTATCCCCGTTCGTTTATCTTCTTCCTCAATGCTTTTGTAGTCGTGCCAATCGATTTTGTCGTCCACGTCCTGTAAAATATGTTGAAATTAGTGATTAGAGATGAAATAAAATGGCCGTTGCCTATTTTTATAATAGATTTGTTTACAGAGATTCTTGAAGAGATAAGATAAATATTAAAAAATAAATCTTAATCCATTTTTCATATGTATTAAATAACACTGTTATCATATCAGAAAACGATCGACGGTGATCTATAGCGGTACACGACTTGAAGAGTCGGCAAATGGCATTTTTTTGCGATCGTAGAAGAAACTAATAACTTGCTTGGGCACCCAATCGCCTCGGTACATTCCTGATCGCTGGGAATGCAAGAGAGATGCAACTAAAACTCGTTTGCTAACTGTTGTGTGCATATGAGGAAAGTAGGTTTTTAAGTATGCGCATAAGATCTACTCGTAATGTCTGGTATGATACTTAATGCTTCAACTGTGGATGCCATAGAGGATCCGCGTATTTATTATAAATACGTTATCCAAGCAAGCTTTCTTTTGCTGCGCCAGCAGGAAATTGAACTCAACGAAGTTACAACGGTTCCAATTCTCCCTCGACGGCTGACGCGAGATTCTATCCTGTCACGAATTTTTTTTTCTTAGGGAATCGAGCTCAACGAGATTTAATACTGATTTCCATTTATACACCAGTAAGCAAAATGTTAATAATACATTGTTGAATTCGTGGTGTCAAATTATACTCAATTTGAGTATCATTTTTAACCATTCCTATAGGTCGCCACTGCTCAATATGTCGTTAATTTATCTAACAACCAACAGGGTTAAAATAATACTATTTTGTGTTAAAGTAATATAATTCGACACACATGGTAGTTAAAAATAACAAAATGTTATCTAACTCAAGGTATTGACTTAAATTTCATTCTTTAATGTGTAAATAGTGTAAATAGTTTACGTTAACACAGTTTGTGTATATCTAGATTTATGCGGAATATTATGGAACATACGTATCAACTGCGTTCGCATTACTCATGTTCTGTCAGCGAGCCTGCTGACATAATCTGATAGCAAAAGTTGAGCAAAATCTGTTATTTCTTGATCATTCAAGTGGAACGTATTTTTAAATGATTATGAAATAGTGGATTTTTCTTGATTTCTGCAATAGATCTGTTAATGTTCTATTAATAGATTTTAATAATAAAATGTTGCATGTACAACAATAAAAAACTACAGGAAACGTTAGATAGAATGGAAAAGAGACAAAGAAGTACATGTGAATGGTGAGGCACCAATACTGCTTATGAAATATACCAGTAATAACAGTAAGATGAGAGAGATCGGAATGGTGCATAATGAATGCACATCATTGTCAGACGTATACACACACGTGCACACTCCCAATTTCATTGTTTTTGTTAACATTCTAATGAGAAAATTTGTAGTAGACACTTTGCAAAATCTGTTTCGGATATAGATTTGGCAATCTGGGTATCACTTAAATGTTGATGAAATAGCTGATTTTGCAACCAATCTGCCATCATACTTGTTAGTATTCTACTGACAAAATTTTGTAACAAACACTTTGCAAAACCTGCTTGCGACAGATTTGGCTATCATGGGGGGTATTTAAGTTGTTACAAAATGGTTACAAAATAACAAATTCTTCTAGGTTTCTACAATCAATCTACTATCACATTCATATTAACAAATCTTATGTTTCCATTGACATTCTACCAACAAAATTTGTAATGGACACTTTGCAAAATCTATTTTTGACAGATTTGGCTATCTGGGTATCATTTAAAATATTTAAATAATTACAAAATAATAAATTATTTAGTAACCAATTATTTTGAAACAGATTGCAGTCAATCTGTCGTCATATTTTGTCAACAGACTTTATTATGTTTCTATTAGTGTTCTACTGACAAAACTTTGTAAATAGACACCCTGCAAAATCTGTTTTCGACAGATTTGACTATCATAATAAGGTATCATTTAAAACGATTACAAAATAGCGAATTTTTTTCAATTTTTACAATCAATCTACTATCATATTCTGGTAACAAATTTCATGTTTCTATTGACACTAAAGTAACAAAATTTGTAATAGACACTTTGCAAAATCTATTTCTGACAGATTTGGCAATCTGAATGTTTACGAAATGCCAGAGAGAGAAAGAGAGTCTGCAATCAATCTACCAATATATATTAACAGATTTCGTTTCTGCTGGCGTTCTGCCGACAAAATTTACAGCAGATATACACCTGTTTCCGACAGATTTCACTCTCGTACCCAATCGACGTGTAACGTGTAACGCCCATTTTACCGCGATTCCACGACGGGACTGACGGGGAGTCACGGTGCGCCTTCCCGGATTCGTACCTGACGCGAACGCTCGTCGTTCGGATCGTTTCCTCGACCGCCGTCATCCTTCAGGTCCGCCGCCGCCGCTGCCAGGGTGTCGAACGGCGCCGAGACCCGACGGCTCGGTGGCGATCGTGCGTAACGGAACACCACGACGGTCAGGAACACGGTGAACGCCGCCAGGAGGAGAAACTTGACCAGGCTGATCACGTTGCGCCTCATCTTCGCGAGAGAACCATGTCTCGCAGGTCGCCCCGGCCTCCCTTCACGAGAACTTAACCTCACCTCTCACCTCGTCGCGCGTACGTGGCAGACGCGACGGGCCTCGTGGTGAACACACTGAATACACGGACGCTCCGCGTCCGTCATCGCCGCTGCGCGGCAGCCAGGAAATCCCGAGATATATCCGTCGAGATACTCCCGCCCGGCGCGGCGCCTAGTCTCCGCGAAACGCGATGATAATGAGCCGACGCGACGCAGCGAACCGTACTGTAGTACAACACGGCCAACACGCGCGACTACCGCCCGCCGCCTGTCGCGCGATGACTGATTAGGGGTGGGTGGAAGTGGGAGATCGCCTTCGCGAGAGAAACTTCTTTAAGGAAACTCGTTTTCTATCGGTTTCGCTCGCGCGATCTCTCGTCTCGCCCGCCGACCGGCGACCGCGCTTCCCATCTTTTTGCCGTCCCCCGTGGGCCCCGTCCCCGTGCGAACTTAACGGTTTCTTATCGATTGCCATCGATCGAAAGACCTCTGTGTCCTTGTACGCAAATGTATTTCAAATAATTCAAATGAGAAATAAGAACAGATGAATTTTTAAGAAATGATTATACCTACTATATACTCCGTCCAACGAGAGATCATGGTTGATCAAACAGAAATATAACGATAGGGCATCACAGAGCCGCAACAAGGTGTTCGCGTTAAATTATTTTTATTTTTAATAGATATTGTCCAACACTATTAAAAATAAAAATAGTTTAACGCGAACACTTTGTTGCGGCTCTGTGCCCTATCGTTATTTATTTTTGATTAACCATAACCATGATCTCTCGTTGAACGGAGTATACATATATGGAGTATTCGTTTAAAGCTTTTCGATGAAAATTGCGATTAATTTAACCGTTGATTAATTCAATTGGCAGAATCGCTCAAAGCAAAATTTTAATTTTTAACTCGTTTTTTATCTTTCTTTTCTTTTACTTCAAGCAAAGATTAATAATTCTATCCGTTGTTAAAACAATACAGGTGTTAATCGATAAATTGATTATTGATTGAGTTACAATTAATTGGCGATTAATTCAATCAACAGAATTGCTTGCAAATCTTCTAACAATTCGTTGTTCTTAATTTCTGATTTTTTTCTATGTTTCGACAACAAGAATTTAATAATTCAATTCTATTTGTTAATAAATCTTATATTATATATGGCTTGATAAATTAATTTCTAACTAAATTAATCGAGATTTAGAAATCATTCGTAGTGTGGGACCAAACAGGAAAGAGTCCAATTAATTAAGTTTATTGCGTTTGTTTAAAACAGTGTTTCGAAAAATCAAATTTCGAAAAGAGACGTATACATACGTCGATTAAAATTACGATCTTTTTTTTGATTTGTTTTAACGTGTTAGCCTGTTTTAGTTTCTAGTTTTATTCGCGACGCCCTGCATTTTCCATTATTTAAATTCTAATTAATTTTATATCGTTGCGTTATTCTAACTAATATTATATTGGCATTAGTTTCCGAGCCTCGATTTCACCTGCAACGATTGCATCATGCAACCTGTTTGCGCAACACGCGTAACCTGTCGTTATCATATTATTCGCGTAACACCTCTGTAGCAGAGGTCTCCTGAAAGATATAGTGTTTGGAAATAACAACTGTACACTTCTTTCGCATCGGCATTTTATACAATCATTCTTCTCTAAAAGACAAGTTGCGACATCTGTTTCGGTATAATTGTTGATTAATTCTTTTCGTCAATTTAGAATCATATACGTGTAAAATTGGCGTATGATGGTCATTAACATCCAATAATACTATTTTATTAAAACGTCTAATAATATATATCTATGTAATGTATACATGTATAATAATGAATCTACTATTTTATTAACAGATAGAATTATTATTAATGTTTTGTTGTTTAAAATATATTTTAAAAATAGTAGATTAAGGACAATGAATATATACATATAGTTAGTGGTTTTTATTTTAAGCGATTAATTCTACCGGAATTAATTGATTATAAGTTAATCGAAATTTGGTCAAGTCACACAAACACATATATGCGTATATATTTTTTATTTTATATATATATATATATAATAAATAAATAATTTAAACTATAATATTATTCGTTCGAAGTAATTTCGTTCAATTTGTAGCCTTTGTAGGCATATTGTCGTTCAAATTCCTTTATTACTAATTTTTGTAACTTTTATTCATTTACAGCTGCTCAAGCGGCGGGAACGATCTTCATTCTCTCGACGATAGCCACGAGCAGCATAGAGGAAGTGGCAGAAGCTGCGCCGAAGGGTATAAAGTGGTTCCAGCTCTATATTTATAATGACAGAAATGTTACCTTAAATTTGATAAAACGCGCCGAACGTGCTGGCTTCAAAGCGCTGGTTCTCACCGTCGACGCGCCATTTTTCGGTGATAGACGCCCCGATTTGAGAAATAAATTCTCGTTGCCCAGTCACTTGAGGTACCCATTTATCGAGTTGAAATGAAATTTATAATAACATATACGGATAAATAGTATCTAGCTCTCTGTTTTATTATAGATTCGCAAATTTCGAAGATGATTTATCGAGGCGAATAAATACCGCGAAGACCGGTTCTGGTCTTAATGAATACGTCAACGCACTGTTCGATGCATCTATATCCTGGGACGACGTTAAGTGGCTCAAAAGGTATCTGCATATCATTGTTTGCGAACTTTCCTTATCTTGATGTCACGGAGCATTAGATTCTTTCACCTTCGTGTCAAGCAAATCAAGCGAGTGTCTGAATCAAATTGTTGCAGAATTACAACGCTACCGATAATTCTTAAAGGAATATTGACGGTAGAGGATGCACGCTTAGCTGTGGAAAATGGGGCTGACGGTATCATAGTATCGAATCACGGTGCGCGTCAAATTGACAGTGTTCCAGCAACGGTTGGTTGACTTCTCTTGCTTAAAAAATTTTTGATATTGCAAAGTATTAAACAATTATTTGGAAAATATCATATACAGTGCGTGAATTATTGAAATAATTGTAATAAGTCAAAAGGACCATTATGATATACAATCAATTTGAAAGAAAATGAAATAATTGCATTTTTTTGCAGATCGAAGTTTTACCTGAAATAAGCAAAGCCGTGGGTGACAAGGTCGAAATATATATGGACAGTGGGGTGACGCAAGGTGTCGACGTGTTCAAAGCTTTGGCATTGGGGGCAAAAATGGTATAACTTCAAATAAATAAATAAATAAATAAACGGCATATATACATATAAATAAAAATATTTGAACAGTTTTGTTAAATTTGTAGACATATTATATGATATAAAGTCTGACAATAAAGTTCGCGAATTTATCACGATTGCTATATAAGTACTTTATTGTTGATTTTCACTGTCGTGCCCTTCAAAGTAGTCCTTTTGAGAAGTTACACACTGATGCCACAAAGCTATAGCGCTTTGTCCATCCTTCAAAGCAGTTTTCGAACTGTTGTTGTGAAATGACCTTCAGAACTGCCCACGTTACTGTCATTAATATCAAATTAATATTAAAAAATGCGTTTCTTTCAATGTTCCCTTTATCTTTAGGAATAAAAAAAATGTCACACGTACGGGTTCAAATCCGGTTTTTTATTTCTATTGATTGTACCATGACGAGTTCGCAAACTTTATTGTCAGACCTCGTATATCAAATGATTCCTTCAGTAGGTATTACATAAATTTTTCACTTGTATGTTTTCAGATTTAATCACTTGCGTTCTTTTTCAGGTATTTTTTGGCAGACCGATGCTATGGGGCTTAGTACATGGTGGTGAGAAAGGTGCTAGGGAGATTCTTGAACTCATGAGAAGAGAAATTGATCTAGCATTTGCATTAAGTGGTAAGTTAAAGCATAATTTTTTACGTCAACATACGTACGTACTAAATATATTTTTTAATGAAATTTTTTGGTTTCTTCTAGGTTGCACGTCCGTGAAAGATGTTACACAAGATATGGTGGTTCATGCATCTTATTATAGTCATCTATGAAAATAAATCGATTTCATATCAGATATAGTTATACATGTTTCCAGATATTAAATACACACGGAAAAAAAAGGATTTGCTAGTATAGGGATAACTAACATTTTTTTGCTGCGAGAGCTATAATTTAGCAATAGTAACAAAATCTTCTTGCAATTATTACTAAGTAGCAATAGGTTCAGCAAAACTTTTTGCTATTGCAACAAAAGGTTTTGCTATTTTATTATTGCAAAATTAATTGCCCTCTCTGTAAAAAATGTTAGTTATCCCATATTTAACTATAGATTTGCTATAGTACCAAATCCTTTTTTTCCGTGCAGATAGTACAAGATATATCCGAGTATGGACAAAAGTTCTCATTTTATTGAAGATTTTATGTTATTAAAAAATGTATCATACAACAAGAATTGTACTATAGAAAATTATTAATTACTTGCTCCATTTATATAATTTCTGTTGATGAGCAAACACATAATTTGCACATTTCTCTTTGTACTAATCTTCTGTATAATTTTTTAATATTAGGTTCATCGACTTAAGTAAAAGACTTCTATAATTTTAAAGTTTGTAATATTGTGTTGTAAAACATCTCATTTGTATTGTATATATATCAGTTTTATTGTTTCTGAAACGGGTTACAATAATTCACCTTATATTCCTTTTCACAACCTTCAACTATTTATAATTAACCTCTTATAAATCGAGGCACATGCAGGATATCTATTCAAGATGAGGGTCAGGGTCGAACACGCTAATTACAAGTCACTCTAGTAACGCATTATCCCTCACATTTGTACTGAATTCGCCCAAATGTATGTTACTTGAACAAATGGATTTGAACAGTTAATGTTTATTTCATATTGTTGCGCATGTTATTCATATTAGTTGATGCTGTAGATTTTCTAACGTTTCCTAATCTCAAAGAATAATTTTGAGAGATAACATATTTTTTTTTCCTTTATCAAATAATCTAAATTTTTGAAATGAAAAGATCCAAAATATTTTTATTAATGTCAAATAATTATAATGATATAAATATAAAGTCATAGAAAAAATTAAGGAACATAAGTACAGTACGGTTTATTTACTGATATAATATATCAGTAAGTAATAAGTAAGTCATAATCGCAAATACCAAGTAATAACCAAAATTGCTATTAATATTAATCATAGAAACTTTGCTATGCATATTATGTATTTTTCAAATCGTCAATTAATTTTAATAAGTCGGCACGTTTTTTTGGAACCATTTTTGTAATGACACTACAATTACAATCGCCTATTTTAGAATTCATTATAGCATGCATAGATATCACATCTGCTAAACATAAGACGTATAAACCACAATCGTAGCTATTATCTTGTTGCGGACAATCCATCTCAATATACTTTCTCTCTTGTTTCTCAAGAAAATATTTCGTCACTTTCCGTGCAAGCTTTTTCGCGGAGGAGCCGTTGATACCGCATGACGAATCAAAGTGGTAACATGTTTTTTCTACATGAGAGTATATCAATAAGCTCCAATGCGAGCCGCCTGCCTCGTTGCTATCACAGTCATTCAGAGGGAAAAATACAAAGTCGTAATTTTTAGCCTTAATAGGGTCGAGAAATAGATTATACTGTGAAGAATCCAGCATCTTCAATAGCTGAGCCACTTCGGGTCCGATAAATAATAATTGGCTGTCCTTCCTATGCTGTTGATTCAGGTATTCAAAATAGAATCCTATTATAATGTCGTTAAGCCAATCGTTTCTCTCCAGTAATGCGACATCCGATGCCCTAAGCAGATAGTCATGATAACTCAGGACAATATCATCCTTGTCTGGATTTTTTGGACGAGCATCGGATAACTTCTTCGAATTTGCAGGCAAAACCGGCATAGTACTAAAATCAGAAATAATATAAAATCCAATGTAGATTATCTAGAAAAATGTGACGGTAGAAAATCAATATCAATATTTATTTAATTTTGAAATATATATATATTTTGCCAGGAAAACACGAGTTTAATACAGACACAAATGCTAGATCTGTTGCGATATCTGAGAAAATCTGCCAATCTGTTGTTACATTGCAGGTAGTTTGTTCATTGAGACATTAAATACTCTATAAATTTATTTATCGACAAAATGCCAGATTTGAGCAAAATTGCGACGGATTAGCATCTGCGTCCACATTAAGTTCGTCTTTTGCCAGTAGAGCCTGACGACATAATCTGATTATCAGCAAAATCTTCTCTTTTGTAGCCATTTGAATAAAATATTTTTTTGATTATGTGACAAAACCGTATGGATGATTCCAACCCCGGGATTATACAGCACAAAATGACTCAAACTTATAAATATCTGCTACCTACATATTAATTTTTTCGGGTTCTTACGAATCTGTTTAATATTCTTAAGGCTTTTATTTATTGATAAATGATCACGAAATGGCAGATTCTGATTGCTTTCTACAGGCAATCGGTTACCATACTCTGCACCGATTCTGTTGTATTTCTGTTGGAATTTTGTCGATAAAATTTGTAGCGAACAACTTTGTCCTCGACGGATTTGAGTATATACGCGTGTCAGATAAATGAAATTACACAAGAGATAGTTACAAGCGCTCTTTTCTTCTTCCGTTATGGATGCCCGTCTCGTTGAGACGTTGTGTATCACCTTTTCTCCTTTTACTCTTCCTTTTCTCTAGAAACGAATATTCGTTTAGATTATTTATATTTTCTTCTGTAAGGAGAATAGTGCGTGTTGACAAATGTCATGACGGCGTCTTCAGAGAAACTGTACATGTGACGTATTCTGGTGTTATGGCTGCCTTCTATCACGACATCACGTGACTAGATATATTCGCGATATATATAGGGTGTTTCTTAAAACCCTTGCACAAAGGAACAGAAAATAGCACAGGCATAGATTTTAAACCTATCGGAAGCCGTGTATCAATGCTGTAGCAGTATTCCTTCAAAAAATCGAATATCAGTCAAGAAAAGAATGAACTAATAAGCAACATTTATAAAAAGGTTTGTATTGCTTTTTTTTATTTAATATACTATATACATTCTTAACAGTATAATTTTCTCACTTATTTTTAGATATTACTTTGAGCGGTTGCGGAGGTCCTAAAGGCACTGGCATGAGTCATTCGAAATTTAAACAATACGCCGCGAACTTTGCACGCACAATCAAGATTGCCTGATTTTGAAAATAATTCCGCGGAAACTTACAAGCGATCGCATGGTGGAACTAGCCAATTATTACGGTTTCTTATATATTGACCAATATTTGGTCAATATATTGACACAATAGTTACTTAGTACAATTAGTAAAATTCAACAAGTTGCACGAAAAATTTGCTTTTAGCAAACAGGACATGTTGTTAAAATTATCAAATATATAGATTTGTACCTTTAGCCGACACATATATCAATTATATCATTTGTGTGATCAGTGATGATTGGTTTCGCAATTTGATAAACACGAGTACATATAATGATAATAAGTTCTTTAATAAAACGGAATACTCATACTGATACTATTTTACATTTCGAGCGAATTATACTTTGTTAAAAAATCTTTTACTTCCTTTGAATTTTATTATTCAGGTCTGTGGTTGGTTTGCACTTTTCGGCCGATTTTGCACTCCTCTCGTTTCGTAGTATATTTCGACTGCTCGCGAAGACAGAAGACGCTCGATCTCAAAAACTTTATTAGCTATAAATTTATATTGGGCTTTGGCAAGTTTAACTCCACGTGGCAAGAATGACTTTGACTAAAAACTCTGATTAACTGTGAATCAATCATTAATTTATCAAATAATATCCATACCATTTTGTCAACATGGAATTATCAACTTTTTGTTTAATATACAAGAAAAAAATTAGATTAATGATAACAAATTATATTAGAATTAATTAGAATTAGAAACTCTGCTTTAAGTCGATTAAACTAATCGATGAATAAGTTAATTGGAGCTTCATTAATGTTAAGCTAATATGATCGTCTCTTAAATATCATAAAAGTAACTTTGGTGTACATATACACATGTGTAAAATATATATTTATCAAATATTTATGTACAAGTTATTCCTTCTACTATACAACAAAAATTTGTACAAATCTCAAGATTTCTTGAGAAAATCTCGTTTTTTTATCATCTGTACATCACAGCTTTTCTACTTTTGAAATCATCAACAATCTCTCAATATTTGAATATATACATAAATATTTACAATGTGTCAAAAGTGTGTCTGAATAAAAGATAATACTACAATATAAGTATAAAAATCTAAGTTTACCATTTTTACATGAGACATCATATGTAACGTTTTCTTGCAATACGCGTTAAAATCAAGTCAGTTTTATTTCTCACGTACCATAACTCACATTCTGTGAATTGTAAAATATCGCTACTTGTTATTATTTAATTAATTATTATAACAGTTATCCTAAATATAATTTGTTCGGTGAAAAGCAGCGCACTTTACAATTTCTAATCACGATACTATCTTAGTTGAAAAGGATAGAAGCAACCTGACGATAAAAAGATGGCGGCAAATGAGGCGCATTGAGAATTTCTATGTCATGTGGAAAATATCTTGTTAGTGTATCGTTAGGTACATAGTGAGACGACTTTACGAATCCACAAAAATATCGGCCAATCTCGTTGTGTCCAATCCATTTTGGCGGATGTGCCTTTACTAAAGTCTCTAAAATCAAAAAATCTTTTATATCACATACGTACGCATATAAATGAGATAATAAAAGTATACGTATATGTATATATGCATTTGTAATTAGCTCATACCTTGAGCAGCGTAATACGTATTACCGCTTTCATTGAGGATAACGTAAAATGGTTGCTTCAGAGAAATTGAGTCAGACGAGTGTGGCGGCTGAATATGATTGTGCAATGCCATTCTGCGTTCATGTAATATTTTCAATATTTCATATTTTGAATCATGTTCTTCATCCCACCAAATTATCACGCCTGCACAACAGCATATGTTCTCTTTACATTTTACAGTCATTCCAACTGCATATTTTATTTCTTTTGGCCTTTCTGTTTTTGGGATTGTGACTCCTAGATAATCTCTAGATATTCTCAATGTCTGAAAAGTGTAGATACCATAATTATTAACCAATATCTTTTTCATATATTTAATATTTAATTCATAAACTTTTACAATGCTCTAAATAACTATTTATACTCAAATTGCAATTACACTGTGCAATACGCTCCCAATTTCTCAAGTTTCTTGATTAAAGGTGATTCAGCTTAGTCTCCTAAGTAACCTCCTGATATACGTGTTTCACTCAGGTCATTCTCATTTTTTGAAGTTATACTTGATTGAAGCTTTGGAGTTCTATGAGATTACAAAATAGAAAAAAATCGAAAAAATAAAATATTTCTGCTAAAAATATGTTTTATATATCACTTTGCTTGCCATTTATACTCATCTTCTTCAGATTCCAGCACTTGTTATTGATTTCTAGATGAAATGTTTCTTTATTTTTTTGATGTCTTGGTGAAAACGTTCGCCATGTTCATCATCACTTACAACTTCCAAGTTTTGCGATGTCTCTTAAAGTACATTTTCTACAGTCACATCTTAATTTCTTTCCACAAAATTTGGGAGCTGTGAGTGATGGACATGGTGAACGTTTTCACCAAGACATCCAAAAAATTAAAAAACATTTCATGGGCAAGTCAATAACAAGTATGCTGGTTACTGTTGGAATCTGATCAGAGAAACTGAAGAAGATGAATATAAACGGCAAGCAAAACGTACAAAACATTAAATCTAGAATTTTGGATATGTACATGGAACATTTAGGCTTTTCATTCAATAAAAGAAATTCTCCCGAAAAAATTGCGTTTATATTTTTTAAAATTCTACTCTCAAATATCTTTCTAACGATATATAAAACATATATTTATAAAATTATTTCATTTTTTCAATTTTTTTCTATTTTACAACCTCATATAACGCCAAAGCTTCAGTCAAATATAACTAAAAAATTAGGGTGAGCTGAGTGAACCACACATGTCAGGTTACTCAGGAGACTAAGCTGAATTACTCTCATTGTCAGCCAAAAAACTTGAGAAATTATCAATTTTTGAAAATTTGTTGTACTGTGTTATTACTAGTTATGTACTAGTAATTAATATAATTGCACAATCAATATAAATTTATTATTATTAAAGAAGTTCGCTATATTTGTTTAACATACATTCAGTGCATCTGCACATAGTGAGCATTAATTATCACACACTACATCTTAAATTATATATAACTCATTTATAAAATAGTCTTTAAAAAGTCTTTTAAGCAATATTATATAACATGTAAATTGCATATTTTTTATAAATAATCATAATTATGTACCTCATTTTGGTATTGAAGTGCCTTTAGCAGCATTCTAATTCGACTTGCTTCCACAGACGTTCTATCGTTGTAGGCACTCTGCATACATATGAAAAGATGAGGTTTACTTAAGAACATCTCCTATACAGATGCTTCACACACAAATATAAAAAATATAGCAAAACTCGAAGTTTGTTTATGCAACAAGTATATTTATACAGAGAACTAAAAAGTCTATAAATACTCTAAATCTCTACTCATACCAATATTCATTTTACATTAAACACTCAATTATTATTGTATTGCGATAAAAACTTTACACAAAATAGAAAATTTTATGAAATTTGCTTATCTATATATGAACCAAATTTATATACCAGTAGCCTCTCTAATGTGGTTATGAGACCTGAGACACTTATATCATACTGGGTGTAATGGCGACATAGATTTTCAATCGCATCTATATTGTGTGGTTCTACCATATACCGAAATTCCACCAATGAGCGCATTTGTAGGGCCCTGTCATGATGATGATGGTAGTTAGGCTTGACCGTTTGTAAAGAGTTAATCATTCGCAACACCAGCTTAAAACAAAAATTATATATAAGCAAAGTTAAGAATCCAATAAATGGAAAACTACTTTCTTCAATCACATAAAATATGATTCACATTTAATTATCTTAGTTATTATCCTCCCCCCTGTGACTAATCATTATCTACTAATATTTGTATTATTTTCAAATTTAATGATCTATTTAATAAATAATTACCAACCTCTGTAGGACTAATTTCGTTGTGCTTATTGAAACTTTCTATGGGACATCTTCTACCACGAATTCTGGGACAATCGTCTCTACTTCGAATAAGTCCACCATGCAGGATATCAATATAAAAATATTCCTCTTTAGGATTTTCTGTATCACTATGGATAATAAAAAGTTATATAGTCCACATACGTGCGCGAATATATATATATACATCCTCATATAGCCATATATACCTATGCATGTATAATAATGTAGACATATGCATATATGATATACAAAGTGTCCCAGGTTTTTCCGTACAAACTTTAGTAGTATGTTCTGAGAAAAAACTATAGAAATAAGAAAAAAATGTTATATAAACATAGGACCGAAAATGTTTTATTAGAAAGTTATGTATGAATACAAAATGTGTAAGAAACAATTTCACTTAAGTTTGCATTTCAAGAAGAAGCAGATAAAATAATCATTATCGAACAGAATCACTTATGTATACAGTATGTCATTTATCTATGACAAAACTGCTATTATTTCTTCAATACAAAATTCTAACTTTTGCTATAACATTCTAATAAATCATTTTGAGACCTATGTTTATAATACACTTTTTTCTCTTATTTCTGCTCATAGAACATACCGTTAAAGTTTGTACGGAAAAACCTGAGACACCTTGTATATGGTATAAACTTTGGAAAATAAGATGCTTCTAAAGTTAGAGTTATGCTTACTATTTCGGCTTCCAACTTAAAAAAAAGTGAGTAGGAAAACATACTAGGTCACAGCGTACACCAAGTCTTCTTGCTACGCTCTGGAATATTATTGCCAGAGACATAGCGTTACCAACTTTGGTTTCCAAAACCTATGTATTATAAATTATAATAGAAAGATATTAATGTTTGTGATATAATAGTATCAGTATAAAAATACGCTCATGATGCAATAGTAACATAATATAATTATAACATATCATAATTTGTAACTTACGCAATCTATAAGGAAGTATTCTGCTTTAGGGTCTAATAATTCGTTAGACTCCAGAACCGGAGGCCCACGGAAATGTAATTTATCAAATAAAACTGTTCGAAGTACATTGATAATCTGCTCTTCGTCTTTCCTGCTCCATTGATTGTCGTTGATGTTGTATTTCCAAAAAGAAAACTGCTTAGCGGATGTTGAGAATATTGGATGGTCGCAGTGCGCGTTTTTAAGGTCCTCCAATACCTGCTGTGCGATATTGTCCAACGATGTTTCCACTTCCGAAGTAAAGAAACGTTTCAAGGGTTGATACCATCGTGCTACGATAATAGCTACCAGTTCTAAAAGCTGCTGTTCTTTAGGAAAATTCATAAATGTCTGCCATACGTCCTTTAGATGACGCTGATGTATATATGGAAGAAGTTTCTTGCTGTAATATTGATGTGTCAAGTTACAGTTTGATAATCTGAAAGGTATTAATGCAGATTAATTATATGATCAGGTTATATGTTTGTTTGCGATATTAATAATTTATTAAATCTTACCCTGGTGTCATTTCAATTAGATATATTAACTCATCCACGAGGAAACAATAATTCATGGTATACGCGCCCTTATTTGGCCAGAATAGGAGATCCGAATCCATCAGGTCAACGTCGGCTAGCTCGTCATAGCAAAAAAACATATCAGACATCAGCGATAGGTAACGCCGCAATTCATTCCTACATTTTATGCTCGCTTTTATATCGTCCTTAAAATTTATGTCTTCGTGACTTTGTATCCGTTGGTCATAAAGTTTCTTCAAATGAGGCCATCTAATGCACACACAAAAATATTCTACGTTATTTTCAAGAATATTATAAGGACTAAAAATTTTACCACCGCACGGCTCTGACATGACACAAACATCTAACGAAGTATGCCGTTTAACGAATATTTTATATTGTATTGTTTGATCCTGACGCACAAATATGTAAGTTTCTAATTGTATAATTACGGATTTTTGATTGTCATTTACTTATTGCGGAGTACTGAAATATGTTGTTTAGTTTCTAGATTCGGCGTAGTTAGGGCATTATGCCTGACGAATATATTTGTGAGAGATCGCTTGAAAAGGACCGGATCCACGGTCGAAACATAGCGTTGTAAATCAATAAAATTTGGCCAGTTGGGTCACTCGCAATATCTCTGTTTAATTTTCATTTCATCCTGTCTATGCATTAGGATTAGAGATTAAAATATAACAGTTATCCAATTCCAGCAATCCTTCCTGATTGACATTTCAAACAAATGCAAAGAAAAATTGTTCAAAATAATAACTTTTTTATATTGCAGCCTTTTGGTTATTACATTTACAAGTTTCTATCTGTATAAAAAAAACTCTGATACGAAAGACACGTGATTTATTTCATTATTACTCGGAGGTCAGAAAACATTGGAACTCTATATAGAAAATTCTCGTTAATGCAAGCATAATATTAAACTATTTCTAACATAAATATATATTTAACGCAAAATAATGCAAAAATTTCATTCAATTCGTCTTTCTGTTTAGTATACCATAAAACAGAATTACATGTAATCGTTCGTTTCTAACCTAGTTTTAATCTTAATCTTTATTTGCAGTTGGAGACACGGTGATAAGATTAGTCCTATTTCAAACAAAAAAAAACCTTTATTTGTTTATTAATATCAAATTGTTTTTAACGATAAAAAAATTACGAGAACAAAAAGGCGGTAAATGTGAAGAATAGTGGCTTCCTCACCGATTTGGCTGAAACTTAACAATATTGTGTGTATTTTTAATTTCTCTCCGCCGAGTATATTCAAAAGAAGAGAAAAACATTAGATGCTTTCCATTTACATCAAAACTCAGATAAATCTCACTTGTGACGTCATTCTGTCTTTATTATTCATTAATTGCAAAAAAGGATACAACGATACAACGACGTCACAAGTGAGAATTATCCGAGTTTTGATGTAAATGAAAAGCACCTATAGAGTCAAATGTAAACAAGAGAGATCACGTGTTCACGTCGTGTTTGTCGTTGGATTCGCGTTCCGAGTACTTGACGAACTTATCGAAATTGCGATAGGAATCTCGTGAGAAAACGGCGAGGTTACCTTTGATAAAACTTTCTCTGCCACAGCGGATTGTTGTCGTCGACCTCGGCGAGAAATCGCCGGCACGTCAAGCCGAAGCTCACAACATCCTTGATGCTAATGTTCTCCAGCTGCAGGATGATTTCGATTAACTCGTTGGACAGGGTCGTTATCGTGGTCATCGCGAAAAGTTCGGCACGAAGGGGATCGTGATATCGTTCGCATTGAACGCGACGGCGACGTAGTAAACTTGTCGTCGATTGTCGTGCTTCTTGAGTTTATTGGCTCCTGCCTCTTTTTTATAAAGGATAATACGGCGTCAATTGTTGTGCGACTGGCTGCGTTAACAATTGTACGGAGCAACGGAGCAACGGAGCAGTTTACGGAGCTTGCTAGGATTCTGTTCGAGACAATCGAGACGCTGTTTATAAATTTATACGCACACTGCGAGTACTGCGACTACTGCGACCAGCGACACCACTGACCACGCGACAAAGTAATGTAATAAAATAGGACGTTTTGATTGGTTAAAGGCTCCCACAGACCAAACGCGTCAAGCGTCAAGCAGCGAACAGTAACCAATCAGCGAGACGATATTTTCTACGCCACTGCTGATATCACCTCACTGATTGGGTTCAATTGGGTTGCTGCTCGCTGCTTGACGCTTGACGCGTTCGGTCTGTGGGAGCCTTTAGATGACGCGACGCATGACGCGCTCAGTGGAAACAGCCTAAAAATAAATATAATTAATTACAATTAAACGAATAACTCACAAATCTTTTCAATTGCACTTCAAAAGTCTTCATACGAAATACAAACGATTTCATATAGAGATTTTTTAAAAAAACATTCATTTCCGGCCAAGTATATGTATCATACAATTACGAATCCTCTGTTCCGCTATTTCTTTCTTCATGGAGATGCAGCTTTAATTCGATGCACGCAATCGCACGCGTGCGCAAAAACACGCACGCATAATTTAATGCATTTAATGGTGGATATAAGTACGTGGATAGTGGATATACGTATAACTCTAGGCGGAAACAAGTAGAATTGATACAGCTTGTGCAGTTTGTGGTTTGCTGTCATTTGCTGTCGTCGATTGTGTGAGCAATTGGATCCTGAGTATTGTCGGATATTGTCGACGATTCGGCTAGTGAGTGGTGAGAGCGATACGTAGCATCGCCACGAGCTCAGAGCTATTACGAAGTTGTAACCGTGAGGTAGATTCCACGGCGGCGTTAAATCGGGAACGCGCTGATATGGGCTCCAATAAACGTCACAAAACTGAAAAGACTCGCGATGCCAAGAAGAAGCGTCATCGTAGCCGTTCCAGAAGCTGCACGCCCGACCGCGAGAAGTCCGAGAAGCACAGACACCACAAGAAACACCGGAGGAAAGAGCGCAAGGATTACGATAGCGATGGTAAGACAATCCGGCGGTATTCTCTTCATTTGTATTATGTATGAGAGAGTGGATATATGTATTACAGGAGATTATATATAATAAGAAGAATTATGTCTATATATAGTTGTATATAATTGTAGGAGACAAAAATTATATTTATCTACAATTGTAGGAGAATAAGATTTTCTCTCTCTTTTATTTCTAGTTGAGATTGTTAACGCTCCGCCACCACCAAAAATATCAAAGTCATCGCATCCATCAACACCTCCGCCACCTGAGATTTCTAAACAGCGCAGTCCATCTCCCACTAAGGGTGGAGCGTCGCAAGCCTCGTTATCCATTGAAGAAACCAACAAGCTCCGTGCAAAGTTAGGGTTAAAACCGTTGGAAGTGGATAACATATCCAAGGATGACCCGAGCAAAATCAAAGATGATCTGGGCGAGTTTTATCATAAACCTGCGCCAAACAACAGCGATAAAATGAAGGTGCAGAAGTTGAGAGAAAAGATAGGTACTCAGAAGGAAAAGAGACAAATTGAAGCAAATTTGTCGAAACTGAAAAGTTTGGGTGAATGCGATTCCGACGACGACACTCACGCATGGATCAACAAATCTAGACAGCTAGAGGAAGAGAAAAAGAAAGCAGAAATGAGAGTAATGTTTTGATATAACTCTTAGCATCTTTGTTTATAAACTTATAAAGTATTACGTTTGAAGTTGCAATGAGGTTCTTCACTAACTTTTGCTCCCGCACAGGGGAGCCACTGTGCCTGGTAGTTAGCGGCGTAAATGATACCAATACTACCAAATACTACCAATTTTTATATTGGTGCTGCACTCTATGCTAGCTTTCACTGAAGAACCTCATAGCATATTCTTGCAATTATATATATATATATACACACAATAATTTCATATATTGCAATATCTTATTAAAGTCAGTTCACATATATTTTGCTATAGATTTGTTAAAAGTATTTTATTTTAATTTAAGGCAAAAATGCTGGATCAATTGGATGAAGAATTTGGAATTGGTAATTTGGTCAAAGAGGAAATGCATACCGCCCGCAATACAGCATATACGGCAAAAGATTTAAAAGGTCTTAAAGTCGAGCACAATATTGTAAGTGTAATAACATGTGATATTGATTTTTATATAAGCTCTCTCAGGGCTTGTATATGTAACGCATATAAATTAATGTCCTTCATTTTTTCGAATTGTAATAAATTCTGAACAGGAAATATTTTGCAGGAAACATTTGAGGAAGGCAAAAGTATAATCCTAACGTTGAAAGATCAAGAAGTATTAAATGAGAGTGGTGATTTACTTGTAAACGTGAATATGATTGACAATGAACGCTACAAGCGTAGTGTTTTAAATAAGCTTAAGAAACCTACGTACGATCCATACGACGATGAAAATTTCGACGAATATGGATTCCCTAAGAATAAGATTTTAGAAAAGTACGACGAGGAAATCGATGGTGAAAAAAAAGATAACTTTGTGTTGGGTACTAATCATGCGGTAGAATTTAAACGTCAGATAGAGACGGTGAAGCAACGCTTAGCGAATAAAAAACTAGAAACGCTACAAATGGCAGAACCAAAATTAGCGAGCGAATATTATAATGAAGAGGAACTTGCAAAATTCAAGAAACCGAAGAAAAAGGTAAAACATTGCTTTCTAACGTACTTAGGTATTCAGTAGATCAATGTTCTTTAAATACAGTTGTCTGATGCAGTTATACATTTAATATATTTTGTATTTATAATTTATTTTTAAAATAATGTTCTCTGCAATTGTATAAAATATATAATGTGATTGTAGATTCGGAAAATTAGAACGAAAAAGAAACTGAAGGCTGATGATTTAGTTCCTGTGGACAATGATTATCTTAGGGATCTTGGAAGCAGAAGAAGGAAGAAACCTGAAGATTTGAAGGATAACGATACCTTAGATGACGACGATTTAGGTAACTGAAAGATATTTATATAATTTTGTAAAAATTAGGAACAAGTAAACCTTTGATTAGACATCTATAAATTGTAAGTATAACACACTTTATAGCAAAACGCATTTTTTACTTAATTATTATCTATATATATAGATAATATGTATGTTAAATTATATATATGATTTATGTTCTTAATGAATAATATCCTTTATTTGATTTATCAAAATTTTTGTGAGCAGGTCCCGCAGAAGATTTTACTGGGATAAAATTTGAAGAAGACGAAAAAGAATTAGAGTTGCAATTAGCTTTAAAAAAAACTCAGCGTTTGAAGGAGGGCCATATAAGTGGGATCCAAAAAACTGTTGAAACAATAAAGCAAGAAACTCTTAACTCCGAGGAAAATCAATCTGGATATATCGTTCTTAATTCTACCGCAGAATTTTGTAGAACCGTGGGTCATATACCCACTTATGGACTCGCTGGAAACAGAGAGGAAAATGGGCAAGAACTCATGGTATACTAAATAAAACGTATTACTGGCTATATGTGTTAGAATAATATTGCATTTATAACATAATATAAATGTTGTAGGATTTTGAAATGGACGGAATTAAAGATGAGCCACCTGTAAACGAAGAGGAGGACGATGGTCGTGGTGCTTGGAACGCAGTACATCTAGGTATTTCGCATATTGGTGCAGATTAACTTTATATAAAGGCTAATTGTAATAGAGACTTTATGTAATAACGTTTTCTTTCCTAAATGTATATTCTATGTAAATAGATGAGAACACCTCGGAACCGGTTGTAATGGAGGCGGCAATTCTAGACGCCGAGCCGTCACTCGGTCACGGGGTAGGTGGTGCTTTAAAGTTAGCTATGAGTAAAGGTTACTTGCAGAAAGAGGACAGCAATCGCCCTTCGGCATCGCGATTCGCACATTTGCAAGCTCAGAACTACTCGATAGAGGACAAAACATACGGGTAAGTGTGAGCAATATATTACCGCGATTCGATGTACGATGATCTCTTACGTGTTTCTACTATGTGTCGCGCGGAGGAAACACGTAAGAAATGGTTCTTATGTCGAATGCGCTCCCACAAGTATTGTGTTAGACAAGCCTCTAGTGAATTTCAAACTGTCAGTTAACAGTATTAAATAGAGCCCGGAAAACGGTGCTCGGAACGGGTGATCCGCTACCACACTACGAGAGTTTACCGCTTAATCGGAGGTGAACACAAGGCCCGAGAAGAGAGTAGGATTTGTTAAGGTATGTTTATGTTATGCGATTCCATTGCTGTGAATCCTAAGATTCTAGACGAGTCGTGGAGTCTCCGCTCGCGGGAAGAATCAAGTGTCGGATGTTAGATTGCGGAATAAGCCAATGTCAAGATAGAGGTTTAAGAAAGATTTGCTTCTCTCGTCTCTGTACAATATGGCTATAATCATTTTCTATGAAAGGCTTGCATGTATTTAATACAAATCAACATAATGGATAATTTTACGTGGCCATACAATCTATGCTCGTCTTAAATATTGAAATGTTTAATATTTTGGAGCGCACTTGAATTGTAGATAAATATAAAAATAATGAAAACAGAAAAGAAAATATATATATATTTTTATTTGCATGAATTTTAATATTTGTTTTCGTGTCAATATATGGGCGGTATTCATAGTTGGTTCTTATTTCAAGACCGTCTTAAATAATGTCTTAAGATGCTAATACATAATACAGCTCTGTGATTGGTTCATAACATCTCAAGATCGTACTTAAGACAGTCTTAAATATAAGAACCGACTATGAACGGCCCATAACGTAGAATACAATTTGCTTATATTGAAAAATGCATTAAATTATATATGATAATTAAACACAATTTAAATAATATATCTTGAAATTATTATAATTTAATCGCATAATGTAATGTATCTTGAAGATTCACGAACATTATAAGACTTTATAAAAACTTGTTTATACTGGTAGTGGACACAAGTTTCAGGACACCGTATTTCAAGGGCTTTAATTTTTTTTATTCTTCTGTAATACCGAAACCTAATTATATTAGACAATAAATAAGTCGTATTTATCTAGCAGATACCTTTGATGAAAACTGACTTAAATTTTATAGATAAAGAGCTCACAATTGGAGATATGTATTTCATTTGCTCGTTCATGTATTATTTTTGTTTTAGGGATGACGACAAGTTCGGCAGAAGAGATCGCTTTAACGGACCTACGTCCGATTTTAAAGAAAAGGATGGTTTCAAACCAAATGTTAAGCTTGAATATATTGATGACGATGGACACGTCTTGTGCGCTAAGGAAGCTTTCCGATATCTGTCGCATAAATTCCATGGGAAAGGTCCAGGAAAAAATAAGGTTTTTATATCAGATTATATTGACTAGAATATTGTATATATACGAATACTTACTTGATGGCAATATTCGTTATTTCAATCAAAATTAATATTCGAAGTTGTAATAATTCTCCAATATTTTAGGTGGAGAAAAGAATGAAGAAAGCTGAACAAGAAGTTTTAATGAAACGAATGTCTTCAACAGACACACCATTAGGTACATTAAATTTATTGCAAGCGAAACAAAAGGAAACACAATCACCATATATAGTGCTTAGTGGCAGTAAACAGATGCAAACGTAAGAATACGCAATTTATTTAAAAATAAATTAAGAATTTCCTAATCAGTATTTTAAATATATCTACAATTTTCTTTTTTATTATAGTCATATTTATTATAGAAATAAAAATTGTAATGCAATAAATTTTTTTTTGCAGGACCAGTATAGCTAAAACAAAACATTAATTGTATATAATCTTATGTATAATATATTATACATATATATGGATTGTACATATGTATATGTAGCATACATATGTATAATCTTACATGTGTATAATGTAGCATCTGGAAATAAAAGTTGAACTCTTTTCAATGTGAAGATTATAAACTAGAAATAGAAAGAAAATTAGTATTTTTCTCAATTAATGACTCGCGAACATATAATACTAAATACTCAGTAAATTTATGATCCAAATTCAACCAGTTCTGCGCCTGTAAAGCTTATTTGACTCTGTAACGTATCATTGAAAAAGTAACAGTGAGAGTAATAATTTTATAGATATTACTTTATACAATAAAGCATACTTCACAAATACATGAATATATTTGTTGATTAAATCACATGTTCCATAACATAGTTTTTAATTATTTACGTTATATATTACATTGATATATAAAAAATAAATATAGGAACGAAAAACACCCCAAGAAAAAATCTAAATAATAGAAGAAAAAATACAATATTTTATCTCACGAATATAGATGTAAAGTGAGTTATTTCATTACTTTTTAAAAATATGCATCATATATTTAATAAAATTTATTGTTACGTATTTAAAAAAATTAAAATACTTAAAATGTTAAGTTAAAATTATTAATTTATTTTTATTGAATATTTTCAATATTTTTATCTATCATCACAATAAGATTAGCAAGTCAACAAAACATCAATGGAAATCTTAAATATTTCTTAGTTTGCAATACGAAATACAAAATATGATATATACTATACTATCTATGATAACAAACAATTACATATAGGATATCTTTATTTTCGTCATAAGATATGATTATATACCTACTTGCATTATTTCGTTACAAATAGTATGTCACTACAGTTATATATGTATAATTACACTAACTGATAAAATATTACAGAGACCTGAATACTACAAAATATAATTTTATCATCTTTACGTATACCTCTATTTCACATTAACGTCTGTCAAAACTTCAATTTTAGTTATTTTTTATAAAGATTGAGTGATCTATACTATTCTCTAATTTACAACGCTCTAATTTGATATGGATGTTAAATATCGCTAATGCTACTGTCGCAAGTATCAACGATGGTAAAACTGTACTATAAAGAACAGTACATATATATACATATACATACATATATATATATATGTATATGTATGTATGTATATATGTAACTATCCCTGATATCATAAGGCTTGTTTTGTGCAAAAATAGTAATACTTAAGTTCTTTGAATCTTACAGTGCATATATAGCAGCCTATACACATTAATGGGTTTATCAATATTTTTTCAACGATACAACTGCATCTACACATGTGTATATATATATATATATGTACGTAGTACATTATCTATCTACATACATATCTACGTATTTATCTCTAACAATAAGAGTAACTAAAATCGTTTTTTATCTTACTATAAAATATATTTTAACACAGAGAAAGTTTGGCACTTTCTTTGGCAATCTGAAACTGGTTGCACTGGTCTCTTTAATACCTTATTTTCATATCTATCTTGTTTTCTGAAACAATGGATTTTCAATACCTGCACCTGCGAGATTTTCAAATATAATGTTCAATATTTTTTCAGTAGAATATTTCGCTCTTATAAATTGTAATGTATTGCCAAACGTCAGATCTGAATAAGAATAGAAAAGAATTATTTATCTCTCTCGCACATATAAATTAGCTAGTTTTGAAACTTGCCTGTTCAAAAACGCGGAAATGAGTAATCAAATATAAAGATGCAATCTTTACTTTAAGCTTCTCATCACCAGTATCGTTTTAAATATATATTTTTTATGAAAATTCTCTTCGATAAGATGCTCTTTGAAGACGTATTTGAAAGTAACTGTTATCTGTTTAGAGAATCGGAGTTTTGTTCGGGCTTCTGTTTGCTACCATCTTCCTGACAACTCTGACTAGATTTCACGGGTTTGATAGACTTTAGTTTCGTGGTTCCGCTAAACCGGAAATTCACATCGCTACAAGTATCGAGTGGATGTATGGTTCCTGTCAAATTTGTTAACGAATCATTACTTGTAACTTCGAGTTTGCTAGTGGGAACCTTTCTTACAGAGCCTAATTCATACGCCGACTTCGACGATTTCAACTTGAGTTTTAGTGGTAACGATATCGATTTCTCCAAATTGGTAGCTGGAACCTTTAAATTACTCTCGTTCTGTGGAAGCGGATTGTTTGCCAGATTCATAGTATCCGTAATTTGAATATCGATGTTGACTGTTTTAGGATCATTCTCATCGTTGTTGCCTCTTACCACTTGTTCGGAATACTCGTTTCTAAGAGCCGCTAATTGCGCGCGTTGCCTCTGTATGTGATTGTGCGAGTTCGAAAAGAACGAAGAGACTTTCTCTAATTTCGTTGCTAAATTGGGTTGGCTCAGAGTCGACTTCAAAGGAAACGGTGTGTCCATGCTGTTATTCCTCAGAAGATTTTGAGATTCTCTTCCAGTCGAATTACTTTTTATCATTCCGTGCTTGTTATCCTCAATGACTTTTAAAGGATATGATTTGGTGCCAGCATTACGTCGTTTCTCGACCATACTCAGCTGTGCGATTATCCTCCGAACTTCACCAGGGACTTCGATATCGGCACGTGTATCCGCTAATTGCTGAATAAACGCGCCTAATGTGGCCACCGTTACTTCAAGGCTGCGATTCTGAGATTCAAGTTTGTGGATAGTCGCTTGTTGCATTGAACGCGCCGTTTCGAGCCTGTGCAAGTTGCTCATAGTAATCTGTAATACAATTCCAGTATTATGGCGATAATAACAGAGAAGAGAGAAGTAAAAAAGGCAACAGAATAATATCATATAAAAATGAGGTAAATTTATTGTAAAATTTAGATTAAGGGTAGAAAATTATATCTAAAATTAATTTTATGAGATTTGCCTTCATAATGCATGATCCACAATTTCTCATATATTTAACTGCAATTATTTTGTATTTTACATGGCACTTTAATATCGACAATATATCTATTAATTGCTAAATGAATATGTGATTATCATTGTTTCAAAATTGCGATTCTAAAATTCATGTACCAAGAATCTCGATATTTGATAAATGTTTCTCGAATTACCTCAAGTTGTTCGCTAAGCTGCGCAACTTCTTGCGTGAGTTGTTTATTCCTTAATTTAAATCTCTCCAAATTCTCCATTTGTGGCTTCACTGATAACATTTCCTCTTGAAGCACTTGGTATTCTACTCTGTATTCGTTCAATTGTTTTGTGATTTCCAAGTCGGGATAAAATACACGTTTCATTATGCGATCTAAGCTTTGTTTGTCTATTGCTGGCACACGTGTCTGGAATCAAGAATAGAAATATAATACCGATGATATTTATACAAATTCACTATTCCATTTTTTATTTCTTCCAAGTTTCTGTCATTGCTTTCATTTTTTATTTCTTATAATTGATATTAAGGATTAGAATATCACAGGGTTGGCATGTTTTAAACAATTTGTTTAAAACTGTC